ATACAGTTGCGAATCCTCCTTTTCCCCATTCAGTGAAAACTCTGAACTCATCATAATCAATCCAAGATAATTTAAATCTCTCATCGTCTAATATTCTCTTAAGTTCAGGATTGATATTATCTGGAGATTTATTAGTTTTCAAAAGACTTCTATATTTATTGAACCAATGATTTACCTTCTGAATGTCTCTTTTTGTACCAATACCGTTACGATAATATCGAGCAACGTAACCAATTGACGATATAACGCCCATATTAGCAGCTTTTTCATGGTATTCAAGTCCTTTATTAGAATCTTGATCAAACCCTCTTCCCTCTTGATAATAATAACCAAGATTAGATATTCCATTAAGATTATCCAAATCAGCAGATTTCTTACAATATTCGAATGCTTTCTGATAATTTCTTTCTACTCCAATTCCATCATCATAACAATTACTTACCTCAACCATCGCATCCGAATTTCCTAATTCAGCTGCTCTTATATAATATTCAAAAGCCTTCTTTTCGTCTTTCTTAATACCAATACCATGTTGATAATTGTAACCAAGATTAAAAAATTGTTCGGAATCCATTATTTTTAAAGAGGAAAAGAAAGAATTACGCACTAAATAAATGCAAACTTTAATTGAGGGCATTTAATGTACGTCAGAGTAATACAAAAGCTACAACAATAAATTGCGTTTTTGTAAAGTTCATTAGTAGATTTATATTATTATATCAAAAACAAAATTTTCATGTTAGGTCGAATGCATATTTGTATTTTAGTGTAACAAAACAAAACCAATTAAAGTTACGGATTACGTAACTTTCCCAAGCCCATTTTACGAAGCAATAAGATTTATAATCCTTTTTGCCATCAATAATAATGATAACCCATTTTCAGGAGATATAATTTAGTCGATAACAAATTTTTCGGTAAGTAATTTAAATAAAATTGAACATTAAAAAACTATTGAATACAGTACTTTTATTTTATTTTCATGTGGAGGAATCGGAAATTAATCTGACCGGAAAAAAACGCAACTTGTGAAGACCTTTATCAGCGTAATAGGCTGTCAGAAATTCGTTTGTTAGAAAATTAGGTTATCAGTATTATGAGTTAGAAAATAATATTTTGAAAAAGTAGGCATCGGAAGGTTGAGCAGCAACGTCTCATTTTCTATGGCCCCAAGGGATATATTTATAAAGTTACTATGCAATATGAATGGCTTATTATAAAATATCATGTATTCCTGTTTAGATATTTTTAAAACAAATTAGTCATCAGGATTATAACTCCAAAATTATGATTAACCATAAGGAAATTGCTATGTGTATGGTGAGAAACATATTTTTTATATTAAGCAGAAATAAATAAAGGAATTATGTAAAAGAAAATTCGGTATAACCGTTTATTATTATCTGATTTATCTAATTGATAATTTCATTATACAGTGAAGAGTAATAGTTTATATTTGACAAAAATTAAATATCTGAAATTTTATAAAAGCTAATTTGTTTTCGTATATAACATTTAAAGCCAAGATATTTTATATAGTAATTTAGATAAAGTAATATTAATGTAATAATTTTTTTTCAGGTATAAATAGGTATTCTGGTATTTACAACACCTTCAGATGATGAAACAATACCATTAAAAGACCAAATGACCATTTTACACCTAATGCCATTTTACACCTAATGCCAGCTTGATATTGACTGAGCAACTGTTGCTGAAATCCAATACTCTTAAAGCATACTTCCCAAGAAAGAGCTTCTATAGCATTATAAATATTTTTAACAGAAAAAAATAGTTACTATTTCAGCAAGCACAATTTGCACAATAACTGAATGACTATTTGAATCAGTTCCCTCTGTATGTTTACTGACGTTTATCCAACTATTGTTAATTGAATAATTGTCAAGATATCTTCATTTGAATTTTTAAAATACTCAGTGCCTATAAATAAAAGTTGCGTCAAATTATTTTATTTTTGAGCAATGTTAACTCAGTAACTATTAAGCCAAAATTGATGAAATTTTTTTATTTGAATTCTACATATATGCAGGATTCTAATAAAAAAAAGTTAATCGAATTTGACCAAGTGGTTGTAAAGATACTTTCATTTAAACATTGGGGAAAATTTTGGCATTGAGATTTTTAAAATTTAAACGAAGGTATCTTGATAATCACCAAGCCAAATTTTAATAAACTTTTTTTATTTGAATTCTACAGAACTTTAGAATTCGGATAAAAAAAAAATTCATTGAATTTAGCTTGGTGAGTGTCAAGATATTATCGCTCAAAGAATAAAAATAGTTTTGATAGATATTTTGAGTTTTTTAAGATTTTGAGCGAAGTTATCTCATCAACCACCAGGCAAATTTCAATGAATTTTTTTTATTTGAATTCTATGAATGCATAAAATTAAAATAAAAAACCTTTATCAAATTTGACTAGGTAGCTGTTAAGATATATTCACACAAAATTCAAAAAAAAATTTAATTTGCAAAGGGTATAGATAGCAAATTTGAGGGTACGAATAGCAATTCCCTATATTTATTGTAATAATTTGATCATAGATTATTACATTTCTTTGATTTAATTGCAAAAAAATGATTTTATTTTTCAAAAATATTGTAGTTTGATAATTAAAATAATAAAATTAAAATATGATCAATATAAACTTTTCATAACAACATGATAATGATAATGATAATGATTAAATTAAATTAACTTATTATACAATCTAACTTCCATATAGTCACACTACTGATATGAAGATATTTTATAAAAATTATTAAATAAAAATAAAATAAACAGTTTAAAATTAATAAGCAATAACATAAAAATTTAAATATTAAAAAATTGATTTTTTTATTATTTTTAAAAATATCTTCATATCAGTAGTTTGACTAGAGATGTGCGAATGCGAGTTTTTTTGGCGTTGCATCACATTATATCACATGATGCATCATGTAATCCTGTACGTATAATATAGATATCTCAAAACCTATATGCAGTGAACAGACTTTGTATTATTACTGAGAGGTTATCAGATTCGTAAACATAAACTATTAGATTATCAGATTCGTAAACATAAACTATTAGATTTTATAGTGGAAACAGACCTGGTAGATTGATTTTTTATTGGGTTTCACAAGCTATTGATATTGATAGTAACAAATGTCTATAAAGTGATTGTTGATGAAATGATATAGATCAAAAATACATAATAACTTCTATGTGCATTTTTAAATTTTAGGCAACTTGCATCGCATTATGCAGCATTATGTAGCATTCAACATCGCCTGCATAATGCATACAGCACATCTCTAGTCCAAACTATAAATATCAGTTATTCGTGTGAACTCATTCCGATAAAACTTCTGGTGCCATATTAGGCATTGTGTCTTTAATTTCTTCTGGTTGTAAGGCGAATCATGATGTAGATAATCTCAAGTTTGCAATATATGCAATATTTATGTCTCTTGTAGGATATTACCACTATGTAAATCTCGATGAATAAAGTTTTTTAAAATGAATTGCTTTAAGATCAAAGCAATACAGTGTAATTAATTAATTTGTCTTCTCATTTCATTTGTAATACATTATAGAAATCTTACATAAAGAGCATATTCTAATGCAGGAATGTATTTTTCGATTTTTTAATTTGTTATACTTAAAGTGATAACTTTATTTAGTTTAAATTTATATTTTATGTGTTGGAAAGGAAATTACTAACATTGTAATATTTTTTTAAATTTATCTCTCAAAAATCCTTCTTAATACTTATTTGATTAGCGAATTAATTAAGTGAACAGGTAATGTTTTATGCTTTAGTACGTTTATTTAGTATAAAATACATTATTTGTTTCTATATTATAATTTATCCGTATAAAAATTTGCTATCTTTTGTTTTTTAAAAATACATTATGACTCCAATGTCATTTTGATAGCAATATCTAACATTATATGTTCCATTAGCATTGACCAAATCGATAGATTTTTGATAATAAATAAATTCTTTACATTTATCATTTTCAGCTCTAATTACACTTTGCAAAAAATTACTAACATTATACGTTCTTATTTAAAAATTTGAAAAATTTAAAGAAATTTAAAATATAATATAAGTCAATTAATAGGTAATTTATATTTAAAAAAACAATAGTTAAAATCGAATAAATTCTATTTCAGCCCGTACGTGCCTTACCTGAACTATTGAAATCTTCTGAGTTGAAGAAGAGTTCTCAATCTATTGTTTTTTAATCGCAGCAATATTTGACTATTAAAATTATTTTATAATCTTTTCAATGATTTTATTAATATTTAAAGCTAGCTGATTATGAATCAAAATTATTAAGCAATGTTACATTTCAGCCAATTTTTTATAACAAATAAAAGCCTTATATTCATCTTTTTTAACACCAGATCCATAAAGATAACAATGTCCAGTATTATATATACCACGAGCATAATTCATTTCGGCAGATTTAAGAAAATTCTTGAATGCCATATTTTTATCTATTTTAACCCCAACTCCAAATTTATAACAACATCCAACATTATTTATTCCCATAGCATGTCCCATCTCTGCAGATTTTTGATAACAAATAAATGCCTTATATTCATCCTTTTCGACTCCAAATCCAGTACGACAGCAATTTCCAACATTAAATATTCCTTCAGCTTGTTCCATATCAGCGGCTTTTTTATAATGAACAAATGCTTTATATTCGCTCTTTTCAATCCATTTACCAAAACGATAACCAGTCGCAAGAATGATTTGAGCCATAGGATTGATTTGATTATCCAAGCACCAATCAATAATTTCATTAGGATTTTGCTTCTTATTTTCTAGAAATTGATCTAATGTATTAAAGATCGAATCCAAATTATTGTATTTAAATCTTTCTTTATTGTATAGATTATATAATTCTTCGACAATTTCACCAAAAAGATTCAAGGAGTTATCTTTTAAATATATTTGCTTAAAATTGTCAATCACTTGGATGGTTTCATTTGATGAACTAATAATTTCCGAATTTTCTGCAGCTAGGTTATTTGACATTTTAAAGCCAAAATTTGTTCTGAAAAGCATTTGCATTGCGTATATAAATTGTCGGTAACAATACCATATTTAGAAGTTTTATGTAACATATTATTACATCACATGTTAAACAACATTCGCTTAATTACGTTAATTACGTAATTATACCGCAGATAAAGTCGGCACATAGTTATTATTATAAACTTCGATCACTTTATTAAGATCACGAGATATGATTATTACAAATATCCAGTTACCTGGTAAAATTCTAATATATTTTTAATGATCCGGGTATGATTTCTAAATTGTTTAAAAAAAGGTTTGCATATCATAAAAAAATAAGAAAAATGGAACTAAAAATCCTTCATAGTATGAATTTGAAAGAGGTTAACCAATAATAATTGAGTCTGTAAATCAAAGCTACTTACCTCTGTTAATAGAAGTAGAGAAAGGATGTTCATTTAATAGGAATGATCGTATAAAATCTATTCCCTGTAGAATTAAATTATTAAAAATTGATTTCTCTAAACTACGAAATCAAACAATTTATACGCTTGAATTAAAGCTATGATGAATAATGCCAGATGAAAAGACTAATATTAACGATATCTAAAATTGGTGAAATATTACTAGTTTATTTATTTGCGGTTTTACTGGGATATTACAATGATTCTAAATTTGAAATTGCCAATTTTGACTAATATATGACAAGCAAATTATTATAATTTAATAATATCTTATATTCATAATTTCGTCGATTAAGAATGCGGGCATAATGTTATAAATTATCATAATTATATAAATACCATTGCCCGACATAATTTAATTTGAAAGTACGCTTTTAAGTATCATATGCAATATATCCCTCCGTTTTGCGCAATTGCGTTGCGTAGCCACTTATGAAGAAGATACTGTATTCAATCATTGTGCAAAAACCTTAATGTAGAAACAAAATTTATACTAATACAGTCGATGGTTTCAGCTTTTTATTACATATTGCTTGAGATGAAATTTTTTGCACGGTTTTAATGATTTAATTATCATTTTTGAAGATAGGCGTTGGAATTTTAAGATACAATATTTAGAACATTAAAATCCTAAACAGTTATTTCAACCTATATAATGCTTTTTAAGTTGGTTTAAATCAGATTTTTAAGAACCTAAAATTAAAAACTTATACATACGAATGTTGAATCCCAATTACTTCTGAACTGGTGTCCGCGCAGATAAGAATTATGATTTTTGAATTCTTCTTGGCATACTCTATAACGCTATAGAGCTTTTTTTTTCATTTTTATTAACTTTTTTTTTGTAGCTAATTTCATTTTATAATATTTTATCTGTGACGCACACTTGCTAAAAAGTAGCAGGAATTCGAAATTTACAATTATATAATGTCAATAATAATAAATTCAAATAATATTTATTAAAATAATAAATTTGATTTCTGTTTAGTAAATACGTATAAAAATATACAAAATATTTAAAATTATCTATATATCAAAATCTGAGATAGTATATGATGGATAAAATAGAATAAAAGTATGATTTGTAAGATACTTAAACGAAAATAGTATATACAAAAGTCTTTACAATACAAGAACTTCCACAGTTGCAAGTACTATTTTAAAAAATATAGAAATTTGTCCACTCCAAAATTTATCGAAAAAAAATTTAACTGCATACAATTTAAATACTTTGTTTCATAGCGTGAAACTTTTAAATAGATCCGGTCGGCCGGCTTTTTTTTTTTTTTTACAGCAATTTTCATAAATTCTGGAACAACTGAAAAGTTTGCCGATGACCGAATCGATAAGTTTCTGAGTTCAACAGAGTCAGTTACTTATTGATTCCAATTCGATAACTTAACGATTCTGTCATCGGCAATGTTTTCAGTTGTTCCAGAATTTATAAAGCTGCTGTAAATTCATATATAAAATTTTATAAAAATTTTTTTTTTTAGAAGTTTTCAAATTTTGGCTCGGCTGTTATGAAAACCAATTAATTAATTTTGCGTGGCCTTACTTAATATCATAAGAGGCAATTTCATTGTGTATTCATGGATTGTTGTTATGTAGTTTGAGTACCATGCAATATATCAGGCTGACGCAATCAGGATATTGTTGTTAAAACCTTTGCCCAACAACAAAAGTATCAAAGACAAAAAAACAAAAAGCTTTACCAACAATAAAAAAGGATTGAAAATAATTAAAATAGATATATTCTTTTTTAAAGTAGAATTTAAGTAATATTTGAAGGCTATTTGTTCTTTAATTGGTGAAAAATAAAATAGATGTTATATATCAATAAATTAATATTAACAGAGATATCAATAGTAAAATCATTGGCATAAAAGAGGATTTATACTAAATAAATCTTCTATATATATATATAATAATGCCAAACCAATTGTTTAACAATGGTCTAGTATCTAATATACCAAAAAAATTTTATATAGCTACGTACTAAGTTTCTATCAATACAACTATTTACTTTGTCTACTTAATTGACTTCCATGAAATTATTTTGAATCATTTTTTCTCAATAGCCTTTAGTATATCTTGTAGTAATTCATCTATTTGAGCTTTTAAATCTTTTAATGATTCATCCATTTGAGCTTTTATTGTATCTTTAAGCTCTTCATTATATTCTTTTATTTCAGTAATTTCTTTAATTATCTTTTTAACTTCGGGAGGCAAATCTTGTAAAATCTCTTCATTTTCAATACTTTTTATATATTTTTTAAGTTCATGAACCGATGCTTCATAATATCTAAGATTTAAATTATAAATTAATATATATTATATTTGCAATCCAAATAATAATAATAAAAGAATTACAAAATATCTGGAAACAATTCTTTCTTTCTTCTTTGATGAGGTAACATCAAAAAAAGTTCAATTTCAGACAATATCTATTATAATATTGAAGAATTAGTTATATTTTGTACTGTATTTTTTATATTTTCTACTTTTATTTTTTAAATATTATATGATTTAACAGATATTATTATAATACCAAGCTAATTTGGTTTTATAATAATAGAATGAATATCTATATAATTTTTTAAAAAATATTTTTACATTAAAAGTTAAAATTTTACCTCGTGTTTTAATTTTAAAAAAGATTTCTCATTATTAGTTTCATTAATAGCCACCCTAAGTAATGAAATAAACAGGTTTAATAAATAAATTGTTGTAAAAAATGAAAATATAACTAATAAAAATACTAGCATCCAATTATTTTTATAAACTCAAGAAGAGACTGCACTTGAATCACCTAAAATAATATTAAATTGTAAATTACTTCTTGTTACATATTATTTAGTTTCTTATTATACATACGCATATAATACCTGTTAGCATAAAGTATACTGCCAATAAAGAAGTGCTAAATCGTGCAAACATGTTTGTGTTATCATCAGGAATTTCAATAAGTGATGGTTCTCCTTCTGTAACATTAGGTGAAATAAATTAATATGTCGAAACAAGGTTCCAAGGATTATTAACATTGTCAGTATAACTTGGTTTATTATAAGAATATTCAGTAGTAGGTCTTAATAAAATATGTAAAGAATGAGCAAAGGCCAAAACTAAAATTCCTAAAACAATAAGAAAAGAAAAAATTTGTCGTGCAACTTCAATCATAATTGCAAAATATGTTACAAAATTTTCCAAAACACGGAAAAATAACAAAACAAAAACTTAATTTCAAGTAAAAAAACAGAAATAGTAATAATCCAGACTGGTAGAGTTATGTTACGTAACCATATTATTGAAGCCATTGTTGGAAATAATATTGCAGCAAGATCTATAATTAATTTATATACCAATTTTAGTAATATGTAACAAATACTGTAATATCAAATTAATTACTAAATTAAAAAATATAGATACCAAACCAATTCCAGGGACTATTAATATAAGGTACTGGATTATGAATAAATTGACAAAATTCAAAAATAAAATGAATAAATCCAAGAAAAATGGTTATTTTTAAAAGAATTATTTGATTATTCCAAGAAATATCATTTTTTGAAATTGTTGAAACTATTAAAAAACAGCACATAAAAATTGAATATATTGTCCACATTAAAAAATAATATTGTTTTCCATAGGTATTCTACTTAAAATTAATAAGAACTTTAATATTCTACCATTTGAAATAATTAGAAGTAGGGTTGGTTTGGTCCGGTCCAGTCCGTCCTGGTCCCTAATAAGACCGGTCCTAATATATCATATCCATCAGTCCTCGGTCTCAAAGATAAACTATTTCACGTCAAAATAACCTATTTTTTACGAAAGTAGTTTATCATTTTTAACTATCATTATCGAATAAAATTTATGCAATAATGGTTTTTAACTATTTAAAAGTTTAATTTAATAGTTTATTGTTAACCGGTCTGAACTGATTAAAAGACTGAAAACCGAAGGACCGTTAACTGGTTAAAAAGACCGGTCCTTGACCGGTCTTTTTAAGACCGAACCAACCCTAATTAGAAGTATCTAGTATGGTAAAGGGATTATCATCTAAATGGAATAACTCAATATATGAATAATTTTGGGGATATGTGGCAAAATTTAATAAAGGAAACATTAAATTTACAGTTTTTTGAGGATAGGTGGTAAAATAAGAAGGCATTAAAATTTTCAAATTTTCAAAGATCCAAAATAACAAGTGATCAAAGAACGAAGTATTAAATAAATTCACAGATGAATATAAATTTCATGATATTGAAGATGAGATAATAAAGAAGAGTCATTTATATATTTATTAAATGATATTGTCATAGAGGTAGGAATGATTAGTAAATTAATTTTTAACAAAAATTTTTCGATAGCTCCTAGATTTTTGTTATATTTTTCTAATTCTACTAGTGCAAAAGCAATTTGACTTATAAATTGTATAAAGTCATAAATGTTACCACTATCAAACATTGATATACTATATTCATAACGATTTTCAAGTATCTCATCAAATATAGAATACTCTTTAGATTGGCAAATTATCTCTTTTCCATATAATTTTAATGCCAATTCATTATTTTTCAAAGTTTTTCTGTAGTTATAATCGTCAAGACTTGGTGCTGGCAAAATTTCAGTATCACGGTCTAGATTATTTTTTAAAAAAGTAAGATGTCTAATTATAGATCTAATTATAAATTCTTGAGCTTCTAAAGTTGATGTTATTTGCAAATCTTCTTTCCAAAAATAAATAAATTCAATTGATTTTTCTTTATTTACTGAAAAAATTCGTATGCCAGAAGAAGAAACAAATACTATATCATCATTTTCCAGTACCATAATTTCTAAAACATAACTATCAGCACTGCTATATGAATAAAAAACGTTTCATCATAATAATATTTTGAGTTTGTAAATTCCGAAATTACAGCAAATTTTACAGTTGTCACATTGTAGCTATCTCTATACTTGTTTGTAATATCCCAAGTATATGGCTTATATAACTTTAAAGTATATTCTATAGGTTCATCAGAGTAATTCTGAGTTAATAATTGATTTGACTCATATTTTTCCAAAGTAGTCTGTATAAATTGCTTAATTTCTTTGATATTGAAAAAAGTACTACCTACAAAACGTTCTTTACACTGTAAATAGTCTTTCCAGTTTTCATTTTGAGATAATCTTTGAATTGATAAATAATTATCATCAATTTTAATAACATAGTCATTGATAACTTCATAATTTTTGCATAAAAAATCATGTAATACATGAGTATCTGTTAACTTGTCAAATGTATATGTGGAAGGATTCAATATATAATAGTCGTAATCCATTGTTTCATTGTTCTGATAAGATAAAAACAAACGCTCTTCCTCTCTTGAACCAATAAAACATAACTGATGAAGTTTGAACTTAGGTGTCCAAACCTTTTTTTCTGAATTGTTAAGTATAATTAATAATCTTTTTACTAATAATTATAGAAAGTTTACATATAAAACACATACCATTTGCTATCGCCATGCCAGATTTTGTTGAATAAACATAGACATTATAACTATCCTTATCGTAAAAAGCTACTGCTAACAATGTCTTATCACTGTTCAATAATGTGTTATCCCAGTTTACATCAAGCTCGTCTAGGTATTTTAAATTCAAATTTGGTATATATTGCATTTCAAACTTCCGAGTTACTAAATTCCATTGTGTGATTACAAAAGGTTTATCAAAATACATAAACAACGTTCCATTTTTATTAATTTGGCAAAACCTGTATTTTTTAAGTTCAATACTATTTTTATATGTCCATTTATATTTGCCATTAACTTTTGAATTTAAAAAGATAAGATATAAGCCCGATGAACTGGATCACTTTTGACAATTATCAGATCTCCATTCTCAAGAAATGCAGCATCATTTACATCAGCTTCATTATGCAATAGCCAATTATATTTTAAATCCTGTGCATTCAATATTTGTCTTGATTTAGTATTGATATCAATTACTGCAAAACGATTTATCCCTGTTAAAATGAATTATGTTAAAAAAATTGTGTTAGAATAAATTACAAATATAATTAAAATATCAACGATTTTATTTTACCAAAATATAGTATTATAAATTTTTTACAATCTGAAGCACTTTTTAAACGAAAGTTTTTGAAATTATCAATCTTTAACAAAGATATAAGCTCATCGGTATTTAATGAATCGATAGGTTCGACTGAGAGTTCATTTGTGATGGTCCATCCAACAATTGATTGATCAACTTTGCTCCAAGTTACAATATATTGCATATTTGGTGAAAAAACATAATGACTAATTTTCTTTCCTTTATGAGGAATAATTTCGATTTTCTCAATTAAAATATTAGTTTCAGGTACTAATGAACTCATTTTAGTTACATAAAAATTATCAATGTGAACATTGATTTTTTTAATAATGTAAAAAAAAGGAGATTTTTAAAAATGAAAATTTCAGATTATTACAGTTTTGAATTTATTAATGAATATTAGGAAACTTATGACAGAATTTAAAACAAACATTCACGTTTATCAAGTAAATATACTGAAATAATACATTACATGACAAATATATCTAGAAATCCATCAATGAATTTATCTAATTAATTGGCTTAGCAACTTAACAAATATGTATTGGGGAAGAGCCCGTGGCTTCGCTGCTATGTGTCATAATATTTAATGGTTGCGTTGCGTAATCACTGGATTTTTCTTATTATTTATTATTTTTCTTTTTTTTCCTTTTTTACTTGATATTCATACAATTTATACTAACGTTTAGTATTTATCATAATTAGTTTTTATGATAGATTTCAGACTTCATATTTCGAAATAAATATGCCATAGAGACTATTAGCGGCTGAGTCGAAAATATTTAGGCATCAACTTTTAGATATAAATAAAGACACAAGCCATAATTTATGCCACAATCTAAAGCAAAAGCCGAAATCTGAAATATATGTCAAGCTATTTTTTTAATCGTACTTGATTCACTAAGTTGAGGTAACACAATGACCCTAGCGTCGCCCGTAAAAAATGGTAGCCGGATAGATCTGCCGATTTTGGACCTGCTTATAAGGCATTATAGAGTACTGTATTATCTTTATTGATTAGTATTTTTTTTTACTGAATTTAACTGATATGTCAAAGTTTGCGAAAGGTGTTAATTTATACGAAAACTATGAAGGCTTCTTGAGCAAAAAAAAAAACTATCAAAAATGTATACGACGTACTTTACTGAAACTTGCAAAATAGCAATTTGCAATTAACTATAAAATAACTATATAGTTGCTTGTTAGTAGCAACTTTCTTCGTATTAACTATATGTCTACTACTATTAATTTTTTTAAGTTTAAAGTTACTATATAATTATTTTATTATTACTATATATTTACTATACATTAGCAATACGCCTACTACTTAATTTTTCAAATTTCAGTAAAGTAGTGCTTTTAGAGAAACTTACCATATATTTCTATTCAATATTCTTTTATATATTTCTTTTGACGGTTTAAAACTTTTAATACATGAAAATTTTAAAGGTTTAATAATAATTAATAAAAAAAAAAAAGAAATAACATTGTAAATATATTCTAAATAATGATTTATTCTTAATATTATGAAAAATTTTATAATCGCATATTTTTTAAATGAAATATCTTTAAAATTTTATCATAACAAAAATATCTGTTTTCGTTTTTTTATAATTACATACATAGCCAACTTTTCCATACGAACTGTTGATTTTGGTTATAATAAAAGTTCGTTATATAGAATTACATACTACTATATTGCATGTTTTTTTAAGAAATCATAACTCTTTTTATCCGAAATGATATAAAATTTAAAAAATTTATTTATTTATGATTTTTTTAAAAAGCACACAAATAGATAAATAAAAAAATCAATAAGACCTACATTTATCATAATGACTGTAGTTCACGCTGAAAACATTTTTATCTGAAATCACATGTAACAGGCAGATTTCATTTTTCACGGACAACGCTAGGGTTGTTGAGGTAACACACCTACCAGCGTACCCAGTACAATCAGACCTCCCTAAGTGCACGGATTATGTAAATTCTCTCTAAATGCACCGGTCCCAGCTTATAAGAGCTCTATATATCTTGCTCTATATATCTTGCTCTCTATAAATACACACCCTCTTTAAGTGCACACACTCTAAATGCACAGTATAGTCCGGTCCCAGCTTATAAGAGCTCTATAAATCTTGCTCTCTATAAATGCACACCATCTTTAAGTGCACACTTTTTTATTCTTTTCCTATGCCTGTAAAATGTGTAACACGTGACTGATCGACAGTAATTGAAGATCGGTTTAAAACCTATGTTTTTTAATTCCTAGCGAAGGTTTCTCAATAACCACGTAATTAAATTAGATGCATTTTTTTATTATATTGTTGAATTAGGATAAAAAAAATAAAAAATCATGAAATTTGATCTGGTAGCTATCGAGAATTTTCACTAAAGTTTTAAAAAATTGGAATATTAGGAAAAAAAATAAAATCGGATAAATTTTCCTTTTTCAAACTTGGGGATATATCGGTAACCACCTAACCAAATTGGATAAAAAATTTTTCATTTAATTTTGCGAATTTGTAGAATTAAAATAAAGAAGAGTTTATCCAATTTGGTTAGGTAGTTGTCGAGAAAAAGTCATCTAAATTTAAAGAAAAAATTTAATCGCAGCTTCACTTTCATGAACGTTTAATTTTAAATGACGTTTTCATGGCAACTACCCATCCAAATTCAATAAAAATTTTCTATTTTAATTCTATGAATTTATAGAATTTAAATAAAAAAAGTTTTCTTCAAATTTAAATAGGTAGTTGTTATGAAAACTTCCTTCACAGTTAAATATCCATAAAGGAAAAGCTGCGGCTAAATTATTTAATTGTATTTATATGAAGATTTCTCGAAAAACACCTAATCAAATTGGATCAAAATTTTTTATTTTAATCCTACAAACTCACAGAAATAAAATAAAAAAATTTACATCCAATTTGGATAGGTTATTACTAAGAAAATTTTATTTAAATCTTCAAAAGATAAGAATACCTTAAAGAAAACCAGATTTCTCGGCAATAACCTAACCAAATTGGACGAAAATTTTTTTATTTTAATTTTGCGAATTTGTAGAATTGAAATAAAAAAAAGGTTTATCAATTTTGGTTAGCAGTTATCAGGAAATCTTCATATAAATATAAAAAAATTTAACCGCTGCTTTTCTTTCATGAATATTAAAGTTTTCATAACAACTTTCGATGAAAGTTTTTTATTTTAATTTTATAAATTCATAGAATTAAATAAAAAATTTTTATCAAATTTGGATAGGTAGTTGTCATGAAAACTTCATTCAAAATTAAACGTCCATGAAAGAGAAGCTACGGCCAAATTTTTATTTATCTTTAGATGAAGCGTTCTCGAAACTACCTAACCAAATTGGGTAATCATTTTTTATTTTAATTCTACAAATTTGCAGAATTAAAATAAAAAAATTTTCGTCCAAGTTGGTTAGGTGATTGCCAAGAAACTTCAAGTTAAGTTTGAAAAAAAGAAAATTTACCCGATTTTTTTTTCCTAAAATATTCCAATTTTTTTTAAAATAATTGATCGAATTTAATTAGGAGGTAATTGAGAAATCTTCGCTAGAAGCTAAAAAAAATATAAAAATTTTAACGATCCTCCTCGCTAACCCTAACCCTAAAGGTTTTATTACACCTGATCTTTCGATCTAATTGGATAAAAATCACTAGGGGTTTTTTGTGGGAAAACTACCAACTATGATAAAAGGCCTTCAAGTTCGCTCACAACAATTTAAGCTCAGGTCTTTAGTATTGATCAAATTAAAAACTTACTAAATTTTTATTTCAATAATATGCTAATGAATATGCTTTGAAATATCATATTTGACTGGTAATTGTAATAACGAATAAGCCCATCGATAATATTAAATTAGAAACTTTATAGAAACTATTTTGGATTTGGCAAAATATTTCTGCGCTAATTTTTGACATGAAATTTCTAAATATTTAGGAAATTTAATGTTAAAAAATCAAGGCCGAAATACTTCGGCCAAGCCTGTGTAACTTATTTAGACAGCTATAAAAAAATTTCAAACACCAATCATATTAATTTGTTTCGCTTAATTTTTATTTTTGTGAAATTTTGCAAAATATAAAAGAAAAAAAATATATATATAACTCTAATAAGTAATCTAAAATAAATGACAATTAAAATTGAAGAAATTCTTGTGCATTACCTGAACCATTCTAATCTCTGAGTTGAAAAGAATTTCCTAGTTAATATTTTTTTAATAAGAAATAAAATATTAAAAAATTGCAATTTTAATTGCAGCAAATATTTTAAATATCGAAATTGGTTTATAGTTTGTTTAATTAATTAAAACCAACTAAAATCATAAAACAAATTATATAGTTTGTTACATTTCAGCAGATTTTTTATAATAAATAAAAGCCTTATATTCATCTTTTTCAACACCGATTCCATAAAGATAACAATGACCGACATTTTTTGTTGCAACAACCTCACCCATATCAGCAGCTTTCTGATAATAAATAAATGCTTTATGTTTATTTTCTTCAACACCAATTCCATTTCCATAACAATATCCGACATTATTTATCGCTGCAGTATGTCCCATTTCAGCAGATTTTTGATAATAAATGAATGCCTTATGCGAATCCTTCTCAACTCCAATTCCATTATGAAAACAATGTCCAGCATTGTATATTCCACCAACATAACCCATGTCAGCAGATTTTTGATAATAAGTGAATGCTTTATATTGATCTATTTCAACACCAATTCCTCGTTCATAACAACAACCAATATTGTATATTCCAATAAAATGACCCATATCGGCGGCTTTTTTATAATGAATAAATGCCTTATTTTCATCCTTCTTAACACCAATCCCTTTATCGTAACACACACCAACACCAAATATTCCTTCGGTAAATTCCATTTCAGCGGACTTTTGATATTGAATAAATGCTTTATGATCATTTTTTTCAATCCATTTACCAAAACGATAACATCTTGCAAGAACGATTTGAGTTGTAGGATTAATCTGATTATTTAAGCACCAATTAATAATACTATCAGGATTTTGCTTCTTATTTATTAGAAATTTATCCAATAAGTTAATTACTAAATTCAAATTAAAACATTTTAAACTTTCTTCATTGTATTTATTATATAATTCTTTAACAATTTCACTAAAAGAATCATCAATTCTTTGGGTAATTTCTGCAGTTAAATTGTTTGCCATTTTAAAATTGAAAAAAAAATTTGGTATAAAAAAGCATGCTTTATATAAATACGATATTTAGATGTTTATGTGTAACATTGTATGACTATGTTACACATTAAAACATCATTTGTTTAATTAATATTAATTGGTTAAATGTTTGATAGACCGGTTTTGCGCGATTGTGGAAAATTCTTTTTAGAACATGTAGTAGTGATGTACATGGGAATTGGGGTAGTAGTAGAGAAAACAATCTTAGAATTGCCAAGAAAAAATATCAGCCACATTATTTTGCCGGTTACATATAATTTTGGATATTGATTGCCGTTAAAATACAATGAAAAATACCACGTTATTTGAATATAACGAGTAGATATATACTTAAATAAATATAAAAAATTTAAATAGTGCGAACACATAATGATTAACATTCATAAATTGAAGTTTTTCTTAAATTTATAGAACATTAAAAATACCTTTAACGGTCTAAGTCAAGTGGATGCGCACCAGGTGTTGATTAGCTCAATTCGGGGGATGTTCAGGTTCGTCAACACCTTACTCTAGCTATGGAGCAACGTTACCACCTTTATGGAGCACACACACGGCCTTTAAGGAGCGGAAGGGTTTGTATATTCTTTATTTCAAATTTATTTGATAATGAGAAAGAGATCCAATTTCGCTTACAAATTCCTCTATACTATTTATATCTCTAAATAACTACAAATTGGTTTATCAACCAAAAATCGATGACTACATTTCTAATGCGAGATAACGCACTAACTACAATAGACTCTATAAACTATGCATGCATTAAATCACTGATCTAACCGATATGTACTTATTACCCAGACCGTCCGTCACAGGGCATCACATGCTCACGTGGCATAGTGAACGATCGAAATTAAAGCTTTCATTAAAGTAGCTTACTTTTAATTAAGAATTAATTAATTTCATTACATAAAAAAAGCCAAATTTATTACTTATGAATTTAATTAATAATAAATTGAATGAAGGAATTAAACAAGATAATTCATGATAATTACACTACTGCAAAAAAAAAAAAATAGTAATTTTAATTATAAGTTAACAAAATACGGCAACAAATTTATTAATTCACGAATTCAATACATTCTTTAAAAAAGATCATTATACAAAATTAAGTAGATCAACTGAATAAAAAAGATTGAATAGGGTTATGTAATTATATTAATAAACATTAACAAATAAGAATAGAATACTAAATATTCACAACTCAAATAGCTTATTTAAACTAGAGGTCCAATCCGTCATCCGTTTATCCGTATCTGAATTATCCGGATAATTCAGATCGGATAAACAGATCGGCTAAACAAATCCGATATCCGGATAATCCGACTGATATTCGGACAATTATTCGAATATCAATATGATCAATATGATAACTAGGTATCAGGAGCTGATAGATGTCCGAAGCAACAATCTGATTGGGCATCACGTGTTTTGTTGTTTTGCAGAAATATGCAGTGTAACCTAATATGAAAAATTGATTGGGTGCTGTCAACGGACATTGCATGGTTTGGAGTAGACATAAAAGTCCTCGCTTCGCTTCGGACAATTATTCGGACAAATGCTGTCGGATTGGACCTCTAATTTAAACGATCGGTTAATAATCAGCTGAATTAACATGAATAAAGCAAATTAAATTAGTATTCTCCTGTTCTAAATCTCTGAATTTTTATTCCATAAATTTCAAACCAATGTGCTCATATTTCAGAAGCCCGTGTTGATAATAATTTTTTCATAATGCTGCCTACTTAACAACAGAATAATATGAGCAGCACAATATGATGATACGGTTATTTATAAAGAGCTTATATTTAACTATTAAACTAACGTGACTAACGTGAATAATGTCTATACTTAACTAACCAAATTAATAAGTAAATAAACTTAAATTACTTATCGTTAAGTTCTCTTATAATAAATTATCAACTGTCACGAGCGTTCTGTACATTTTTAACCAATCATTTTGTTTCATATGAATATAATGTATATCCTTGATTTATTTCGAATTACTAATTGATTTACGAGTTTCATTTCTATGGAGAAAATCACGTTTCAGGATAGAATGAAATTCAGTTGGACACGTAGATCGAGTCTAATTTTTTAGTTTAACTATGAATAGTAGTTCAAATTAATCCCTTTAAGAATGCATCGAATATTTTTTTGAATCCAGATTCGTGCTGTACTGATCTGGTGTTATACTGATATAGAGATTTTAGTGACTTTTAAAACATCTCTGTATGTCGATATTTTATGATTAATTAGGACGGTAGGATTTTTAAAATACTACTCCATCCACACAATTTTGGTCATTCTTACTAATGATCGAATTGACGAAATGACGCATGACGCACTCATGACGCAAATTATGACTAATGGCGCAACTTAGGCCGTTCGAAGTTAATTTTTCGGTTAACATCACCCCCTCCCCTTTGGCTTCTCCGGTAAAATGAACCGTATAACCACAAAATAATACGGGTTCGAATTTCGGCCTAAATTAAGCTTAATTCAGGCCGAAATTCAAAATAATCCCTGCGCGCTATTTAGCGGTAATACAGCAAATATAAAATAAAAAATAAGTTAAATAATATAAAATAAAATAAAATAAAATAATTTAATTTAATTTAAAATAAAATAATTTAATTAAATCAAATCAAAAATTTAAACTCGTGGCTTTTTATGGTCCCGGCTAATTAAACTAAAACATAAAAAAATAAAAAATTTTTTTTTAAAAAAAAACGAGAAAAAAAGATAAATAATAAAAAATAAAGCTAAAATTTTGGTTCCCACTTGGCTGTCCTCTCATGTATGTTTATTTCAGTTTGTGATGAAACGATTCAAGAAAAACTACCGAAAAAAGAGCTTCCGATGATTTATTTCATTCAATGAGGGACAAAATTTGTATTCGGCCAATAGGAACTTGGGGGATTACCAAAATTCCGATCTGATACATACTTTTAAAAAATGATGCAGATCCGATCACCAGATCACGAGAGTTGTAAAAATTGTACGTACTGTACGTACGTACGAAGTTCTTTTTCTTAGATTAATGCATTATATAATTAATTATTTACTTATTTATTTTTTGCTCCTCTCTTTTATAATAGGAATGTAATGTTAACTAC